AACGACTTCTTTGAAATGTTCGGCTGTGCCGATGCATTTCTTGAATACTATGGACCAAGAGGGAGTTCAAAGGCATTTGTCTATATTTCCTTTAATAAACTTGACTTGACTTGACAGTGTAATAATCCCATTGGATGTTCGTAAACGGGCATTGCAGAAGGGTTGCTAGATGTTTTGGTGCTGCAGAAACGCATCGACTGTCGGTATAAGCTGCAGACATGGGAGGAAGCAATGCCCAGCCTTCCTCCAGTCAACCGCCCCACCAAGACGGTGCTCCTCATTCCCTTTGGATTTCCCGGATAATTTTAGGGAGGTAGGAGTCTTGTACTTTTTGTGAGTCATTTACGAAGTTGGATATTAGAAGCACACTGCAACTTATTTTATTGGGTACAGATTAAAAAACAGTGTGCACCTCTTAAGCGGGCCGCCTACTAGATGCACTGGACCAACACAGGCGCTATCTCAGAGTGCAGCAGGCGTTACTCGGGTCGTGTTCCCATAACAAATGGCAAACATGGGGGCGTGAAGGCATGCGTCTGTGCAGGCTCACGTCACGCCAAACACCTGCGCTCGATCCCGCTTCCTGTCTTTTTGACTCAGTCTTGACACCGGACACGGGTGACAGGGAGGAAAGAGTGCGGCAGATGCAACCCAAGTATAATGTCAACTAAAACGAACCTACGCACAACTCACCGTTCCCGTACTATCATCCTATGGAGCACACGGTGGACCTCGTCAGACTACGACGGTCGAACTAACATTTACTGTGCATATTCGTCTAATAAACTTTTAGTTATAAAGTTGTTTTACTGGACTAATCAATATACAATCTGCAAGTCGTCCAACTACTATTTTCCAAACGTAGTCTGCTATATTGGGCCTTTAATCTCTCAATAATCCAAAGGAACTTAGTCCTTTATGGCCAACACGCTTACATGTGTACACGTGCACTTTTGCGCCAGCGGCACAAAAGGAATTTCCGTACCGCCCCAACTAGGGGACAGCGGGCTGCCAGTACGGTCATCGGCTAGGAAAAGTCACTTTCCCGGACGATGTAGAAGCGGTTACATCTCCAAATTGGCAGTGCTTTCATCGATCTGTTATCTTCTTTGGGCAGTCTGTTATACCATTTGGGGATTCTCCTGAGAAGCAAACGGTGTAACAATCCTGCGATGATTGCTGGAGAAGTATATTTTGAAAAAGTATGGTCCAGTGAAGTGAAGTTCATACGTTCGATTGATGTTTTTGTTCGAGAGGCATCATTCTATCCACGTGCAACTTAAAATACTGCTGCAAGTTATACTGTAGGAGTGCAAGACCAAGAGCTAGTACTGCCAAACGGACATAGCTGCTTGCTAATGCACGTTTCATGTTTTCTATAAAATAAATGCTTTTAACATTTTCTTTAATTCATTATTTGCTTTACCTGCGAATGCAGGCAGATTCCTCTTATAGACTGTCAGACCAAGTTAGACAAACCAATTCAGCATGAAGGCTGTAGTGCTGCGAGTCAATTAGAGACGCGTCATAGTCGTGGGTTGCACCATCGAAAAAAAACGTTTGAGTGCGCAGACGTCTACAGGTAAAATTGCCACCAACAGCGCGCTAAATATGGATCCTATAAGGTCCGCAACGATATCTGGCATCTAATACTTGTGTGGTACAGTGATCCAGCCTCGATCGCGGGAAAGGGTCTGAAAGACGCCCCGCGAAAGTCGAAAATCCATGAAGCAAAAACTATTTGTTGACATGGTTATTTTAATTGAAATGCGAGCATCTCAAGATAGTTGATTACAATGAGATTGAATTCTTTTGAAACGCCTAAATTTTGATACGTGAATTTTCGAAGCTGGTTCGCTAACTCGTCAGCAGACTATGAGCCATATACAAAAATATTTGAGTGATTAAACGTGTTTAACAAAGGATTTTACAACTGGGCAACATATGCACCAATATGCGTGAATTATATTTTGTTAACCTCTTCGGGATTAGTTGTGCTTGTTGGAATTTATCCTTGAGAAATGTGTATGTGGCATCCAAATCGATATGCAGGTTGATATATGCCTCATCTGCATACACTACTTTCAAGAGTTCACGAGTTTTTCTGATTGGACAAGACATATTAGTCCGAGTGTTTTCCCACGCAAATTTATGCCCAAGTTCCGATGTGTGGGCTGTCATCTAGGATAGGTGGTTTCGCCTTCTGACCGCCATGTACGTGTATACGGCTTGGGAAGAATTTCTCAGTTTGGCCACAATAAACGGCTTCACAACCAGAACATGGAATTTTGTAGAGGTGACCAACCCTGTCCTTAGACTGTACAAGTGTGCGTGAGCTAATTGTGGGTTCATGTGCTACTAGTATCTGACGTTTTTTACAGTTGTCTTCCGACAAATTTAGCTACCTTTTTTCACTTATGGGAGCGTTCGCCGGGTGCCTAGGTGACTGTAATGTTCGAAATATGCTTTTGTTTGAGCTCTTGATGCTTCATGCACTGACGGAAAAAGTCACGCGGGTACCCATTTTCGAAGAACAATTTAAAGAATTTTTTTCACTTCTGCCTGATGAAATTCTTCATCAAAACAGTGTGTTTTTGGTCCCCATTAGAAGGCTGTAGAGGAAACTCTGTTTACGAGAGTGGATTGTTGCTTTCAGAGTATAGAATGACCCCAGACTGTTTCTTTGCCATTAACTGAGGTGTGAATTGATCCATCAGTTTTCGGTGTACAAGGCCATCCAGTCATGAGAGTTGTCCATCAACCCCCTCTCCCCCCACATTTTCATGAATATTTCCCACACAGTTATACGCCAAAAGCCCTCCATATTTTCTTGAATATTAGGTAAGATCCGACGCAGTTTTATATTTGAACACACTGCTTATATACTATGCACAAATGTAAGTATAATTTATCATTGAGGGGCCTTATTTAATGCGCTTTACCGCCACCCGACAATAAATAGAAGAATAGAAGAAGGAGACAAGTACAAGAAGTAAAAAGGCCTGTTGTCCGCTGGAATCCGCGAACCAGTGAGCCAGGGATGTTTGCGTTGAAAATTCTATGATAAAGTGAATTCGTGAAAGTCGAAGCGCGATATAGCGGGAAATGACTGTATAGCAACCACAAGACTTGTTTTGACAAACAAATTATAAGACGTGTTTGTGTTGTGTAAATCTATAGTCAAACTAAACCCTGTAGCAGGAGCATCGCATGCCCCTGATTTTCGTCAGATCTGTTTTGAAATGCTCATAAAACTAACGAAGAACTGCGAAAGTCTACAGGTTTGCAGAACAAGTGCGACTAACTTAAGTTCCCCTCTAAAACCTGCCGCGATAGGCCCGAGCATCGCAATAGAACTGCAAGAACAGTCTCCGAATTTGCTTTCATCGTTCTTCGGCTTTTTTAGCCATGTTCCGTACCCTGGATATATTCGCCTTTGTTGATGCGGAACTGGATATCCAACGCATTTAATCTGACATGTGAACCAGTGCGGCTATCCCATTTTTTCCTGGAAATTAATGTTTAATGCCTTCGAAAAGGTAAGACAGCTATACCGTTGAAAAATGTTGTCTTACACTGACTTTTGTCAAACAGTATTTCGTGATGTTTGTCCAAAAACTAACTCTGCCATCCGGAGTTTTCAAGGCAAATGTGTAGTTCGGTCCGAACGTTCGCATTTCTTTTCTGTATAATAGAGTAATTCACCGTATATAGTTTTGAGTCTTCTGTTCAGTGTCATAGGAACTCTACCTTAATCTTCTTTATACATCTAAAAATACCGGTTCTGTGGCGAAGATACCGTTCATGTCAAGCATAGAGGGCAAAACTAGGTTTAACGTGCGCACGGTGTTCGGAAACATTTAGTATTCTGGTTGAGACTCACGTTTAATCAAATTTCCCGAAACCTACAAAGTAAGCTCTCCTTTATATCCTTTGTAATCGCAAACTCGGTATTTTCCAGGTAAGTACTTTCGGGTGCAGGTTAAGATGCCATTTAAAATAATCTTGACAAACAGCTACAGCTAGCGGCGAATGAAGATATCCACGAACACCATGTTGCATCTTAAAGCTGAACGTTTTTGTATTTTTGCGCATTGGTTTGTAAACGGACATAAATTCTCAAATGATGACTGCAATGTCTGTTTTTTCATTGCCTTCTTATAAAATTGGCGCATTTTATGCGCTGAATCATATGAAATCTATCTGTTAGATTAGCGAAGACTTTCCAGCTCCAGCCCATTTTGGATGACTGGGAAATTTTACGATGGAAGACGGCTCCTGGAGAAAAGGTATAATGTATAAAAAAAACCTTTTGCCAACAAGCTCGGTGTCTACCACACTTTACGCTACTTAGTGCATTATTAGGTTAATCTGAGTAATGTTTTAGATTTCGGCTTTTCATTAACCCGAAAAGGAGAAACAAAAAACGTTTTTTAAGAAAATCTTTCAAATCACCACGCATCTGTGCACGATTTTCGTCTAAGTCTAACAGATTCATTTGGATGGGAATGAGTTGCCCTTACCTAGGATCATTTGAAAAAGACTTCCTGTCCTCAGGAGCACAGTAACGGGTAGAAAGGTAGGAGAGATAAGGATCAGTGTCGTAATATGCCAACAATCAAATCCATTGCCCCATGAGTATGGGCCACGCTGAGCATGAAAGGTAATTGAGAAAAAGACGACTCGATCGCTGGGACGATACTTTTATTCGCCTGACGTTTCGAGATCCGCCGCGAATTCGTCATCAGAGACAGTCAGAAAGCATTAGCAGATAGGATAAGTTGTGGAATAGAATCGCGGTAGGATTTTTACCTTCTACTAGCGTATTTTGTACCTTCTTGTTGAAAATGGAAGTGGTACTGACAGCTAACAGATTCATTTGGTCAAACTGTGAAAAGCTTGAAGGCCTCGATGGGATTGGAACCGCGACAGCGAGTGCATGACCCTAGTACAACCAACGCTCTAACCACTTGAAATATGAGTCCCTCATTAATAAAAATATTTGAAAAAATACGGGCTACGAGGGATCCATTCATCTTGGCTTTTTAGCAAGTGAAAATAGCAATGACTAACCACCCTCCAGAGCTCTGATCTCCGTGGCGGAAAAGGCCATTCGACAACGTTGGATCTTCCGGCCGTCTACGCTCTGACTGCCATTATGCTGGCCGTCTCCCTCAACCGCAGCGGCCGCATCGATAGTCGAAGACTGCCACTCGTCAGAGCTTTGATCGAGCTCGTCACCGAGGCCGTTTCCAGTACCATCCGTCTGAGGACGATCCGCGGTGAAGCCACCTAACCTCTCCTCGTTGGTGGCGGTGAGGGGACGGTAAAGGTTTGGAAAAGTTGATGTGTTAGCAGACATGCTTCCGAAGGCTGCATGACCCTGTGCGAAGATTGGTTCTACTTTGGAGGACGGTATCGACCGTGTCTGCTGACCTTGTCCTGATGTTTTCGTTAAAGTAATATAAAAAGGCTGCATCAACCGAGAAGGATACTTTTGTAGAGAAAAACAAGCCATTTTATACCATATCCTGAAAAATAATCGAAAGAGGAGGAAGCCAAGTCTTAAAGGACCGAATCCCTCATACCTATTTTGCGTGAATTCTTTTGTGGCAAACGAACATTTTCTTTTTACACTGGACGTTGTCGCAAACCGTCTTCAATTTTTATTATGGGAAATGCTTTTATACGTTCCAAATGCAGATACTGCCAGCACTAACAAATGCATGCCTCGAGGGCATTTGCCGACTTGTGTCGATTTGCAAAATAGCGGGGTCGAACGGGATAAGTTCTGGCCAATCCACTTCACTTCCAGTTCGGGGGGTGACAATTACTTCTTTCATACTTATTGTGTAAATGTTGGGATAATGAACTCCATAAAATTTACGCCCTTACTGCTTGTTACAGTTATTTATCAGTAACAGTTTTTATGTTGCTTCCAATTCCTTCAGCAACATTAACCAAAAAGCTATAGGGCTATAAATATACCCAACCCCATAAAAGTCTTCATTTTAGCATACTATCCCTCGGTAGTGTAATGCTTCTTAAACAGTGTGGTGTATTTCTGTATTTCTTCGTTGATCGTCGGAAGTACGGATGTTTTATCAAAATATGAAGAGAAAATGAAGCATTATTTCGAAACAAAATAGCAATTGTAGCAAAAATGCTTCTTCCTAACAGATTATGCAGGATGTCTTCACGCACAAACTAACGACCAACTGCCGGAGACGCCAATTGTAGGTAGTCATCCTGGTAGAGGTACGGATAAATGAGAGAACTTTGACTTTATTGTTTAATTGCGATTTGCCCAAAAACTTGCGGTAAAGTAAATCCGTTAATGACAATTAACATGGGCAGCATAATAAAACCTTGCTTAGAGAAAATTGTTAAATTTTCTGAAACCGCACATGCTGTGATATTTAATTTTTCAATACCTCTGTAGTCAACCCTCACGCCGAACCCCAATCCAGAAACTCTAACATCCCTGATTGGGGTGTTACCATCTATGCTATTAGTAAAGAAGTCACGCCTCACAGTGAGGTTTATTTTCCCTCACGTACTGCAAAGAGAGTCTATTCTTACGCTGGAGCAGGAGAAACCACAGTCGGTAAGAGAACTCGTGGCTTCTTATAGCGATCCCTATTCCTATACACAATTTCTAAAATCAACAGACTGAGACCAATATGTTACTTTCTACTGAATGCTTTGGGTAATTCTGTAATGAAAGACGGCAGATTCTTCCCATATATCGGTAGAAAGTAGAATGACCCTATACTCTAATTCCGCCTACTGAAATAAGCGGTCAGAAAAATGTGTTCTCTGCTGGGGGCTAGCTGGGTATCAAAATAGGTTTACTTCTTACCAGATGCAGACGTTGGAAAGACAGGAGAATAGGGACCCCTTGTTTCAATGGCTTTAAGCTAATTTTTAGAGAGCTTACGATTATTGCCAAGGTTTGGGTTGGGCTTATAGATAGGGTATGATTTGGAATTAAGGTTTGGTTTTGGCTTAGTGTTAGCGCTGGAGTTATGACTTGATAATATTTATCATTCATGGAATTTCCCTGTGTCTCCTTCAGTGATTTATACATGCAACAAATAAGCAGATCCCGATGCCACACATCTGCAGATGCAGCATGTGCTATGCACATAACATTCAATCTGGATCGACGCACGAGATTACACTATGAAAATGTAACATCCATATCGATCCTCAGCTCTCATTAGCTCACCTGGTGGATTTTCAAAGTTCGTCCACTGTAGACCCTCGGCTTTTATCGGTTTTCCACTGGGCCTCCCGCATACTTTTTGCTCCACATTTTCAGCAGATTGAGCTGCTACAGTCGGTATAACCGCCACCGAACTTTGTACTCCTATTGTTACTGCCTGCGACTCTTTTTCAAAGTAAGCGGTTAGTTTCGATGCTGAAGTTCCACATCGGAAATATCTGTTGTTCTCGCAGTCAGGATCTGCCCTCTCCAGAAAGTCCGTCTGATGATCATTTCGGGCGTCGGAGTTCTTTCTTTCAAAGTTGCACTGTTCAAAAGGTTCCCTCTGTACCTGCTGCTGCTTCTGTTGGACTGCTGTTTCGTACGCCTTCCAGCGCTGCTGAAAGACTGCCTGACTCACACCAAATGAGCCGTACTTGAGTGAGTAGGAACCAGCGTCATTGATGGTGCTAGTGTATGCTAGTGACTCCCTTATGTAGCTGGGTGAAGGATTTTGCTCAAATGGTCCTCTCCGACTCGATAAGTCACCCTCCGTTGTGATACCATCGTGGAGCTGCGTTGAACCAGTTATTGTGTCTAAATTAGTGGAGACTGCAGAACGCGCGTGTAGTGTAGAAAAGGGCTCTCCGAAGGTTGTTTGATGAACGCGGGGCCCAGCATAGTCGGATCGTCCACTCCTCTGTGAAAAGTACTCTGAAGG